AAACTAAAACAGTCAACTTGGGGAATAGCGAAAATTTTTTGTTTGTTTACTGCACACCATTTTTCGTTTTTTTTCGTTTTTTGTCTATTTTTGGGATTGCGCACAGGAAAGGATGCATTCACGCCACTGACTTCGGTTCAGTGCCATATCCCAGAGTGCCTCCAGCCAAAGACAATCTGAATCTTTGGGGCCCCGGCCGGGGATCCGGGAAACTCCAANAACTCCAACGGAGGCCAGATCCGAGCACAATCTCTTTAACCTTCTGCGCCACGTCATGACCTGCCCACTTCGTTGTTTCTTTCAGCCTGGACCGATGTCTGCGAATAGTGCACGCTGTGGCAGACGTTGCCAAAGCATTCGTAGGACGTGCCCTAACCACCTAAGACGATGCAGTGAAATTATTTTGCTCAACGGAAGACTATCTGATCCTAGAACACGTCGTCTTACCTCATCTTTAATCACGCGGTGCTCCCATCATACGCAGGCGATGTTGCGCAGAAAACGGTTGTTGAATATGAATAGTCGTTGGACGTGATCTGCCCGGAGAGGCCTGGTCTCGCAGCCATAGAGCAACACGGTGTGCACCGCTGTGCAATGCACACGCCTTTTCAGTGGAAGGGATGTCGCACCGTCGACAGAGATGCCGCAGATTAGCGAACGCTAATTGATTACGCGTTGAGAGATTTCCTCACCCACACCTCCGCCAGCCGTTATGCAACTCCCGAGGTAGACAAAGCTTTCGACTACTTCCAGGGTGTCATTACCCAACGAAAGTGCAGCAACAGATTCCTGACAATCTTGCAGCAACACCTTGCACTTTGAAGGTGCAATTATTATTATTATATTTCACACTTGTCTAAGGACAGACTGTGCCAAGAAAATCATGGTAAAATAATCTTTATAAAAGGAAAATTTTCCATGATTAGCTTGTGGGCTGAATACTGCCAGGCTGCCCAGGCCTTCGGCTAGCCAAGCTCGATCCACAAGGCAGCGAGGCGATGTGCGAAAACCGCAATCCATGAGGGGCCAGTATCCAGTTCATCAGATCATATACCCTTCAGACGGGGTCAGACGTCCAATGTGCCCAATACACCTCAGTGCCCAATCGAGCCGGCGACCACTGCTACGACCGGAAGGGTGTGGATGTGGTTCGTATTCCTCCTTTTGATTATTATAGAACCAGGGCTTTTAGCCAACTCCCTTTGATGAACTGCCGATGGTCCACCAACCCGGTTATAGCCCCGGATGTCGGCTTCTGGTCTTCTCACTTTGGTGGGAAACACATCCACCACGAGAAGGTAGTGAGTGGGGCTTCCTCAGCAGAGGCTATTCGAGACGCTTGGTCGTATGGGAGCATTTCGCGAGGTGCAAGGGAAGGGTGACTGGCCGCAACCAGACACCAGTCCCTGACCACACTGAGACTTTCGGAGGCCATACTGTAAGTCTCCTACTCTGTCTCCGGTATCTCCGAAAAAATTTGCACAATGCGGGGTGATCTATAGAGTGGAAGACCACTCTGATGTCCAAGAATACGACAATAGTTTGCCGTCTGTATGCGTGGCGCTGTTCTAGTAGCTGACGGAGGATGAAGAATTGATCTGTGCAACCACGACGTGCACGAAAACCGGCCTACTCATCGTGGAATCTCGCGGAATGGACTTAATCTACTTAATAAAATGTACGCTAGCAGCTTCGGTGCTATTGGAATCAGACCTTTACTCCTGTGGTTGGAACAGGCATTGCGATAGCCCTTCTTGTAGGTGAATGTAACAATCGATTCTCCCCGTGTATGGGGTACACTTTCGGTTTCCCAAATCTTCAAGGACCGTCTCACAAGCTCTT